TCTCGGAATGCTTTCACCAAGCTGCAGCCACATGCTGACTTGTAAAACATTTCATGTTTTTTTGGAAAACAACATTTCAAGAAGTAGAGAAGGGGAAAAAGGAGGAAGAAGTGGTTGAAATCTAGGATTCAGTGGTACAAGTGTTTTCAGCTTCTGTCAGAGTTGATAAGCTCTAGTATTTTATATTGTGCCAAGGTGTGCATATGTTTTAATATATTTTATGTCTCAGCTTCTTTCTGCCATGGTGGTAGGGATTGGATTTGTCAGAGGCTGGTACAGTTAGCTAATTAGCCCAAAGAGTCCTGTATGTCCATCTGGTTTCTGAGTGCTCCAGGTAGCACCAAGCATTGTGTGGATTAGAGAATCCGATGACCTTTTCTGTGATGCTCTTGCCTTCAGTAATGCAATTAAGTTTGTGTATGAGGTTTGCATATGCTTAGAGCTTTCAAAATGCTTTGGTCCTAACAGGAAAGTCAGGAGGAGAGGTTGTATTTGGGTGAGATAGTAAGGTAAGGAAAATTATATCAGAATATTGTAGATTTAAAGCTGTAAAGGTACTTTAGGATTTGCTCAACATCCTCATAGAACAAATAAGTAAACTGAAGCTCAAAGCAGGATGTGGGTGACCCGAGATGGATCTCCCAGGTAGTAAAGAGCAGAGAACAATGATTCAAACTTGGCACTTCTGCTTTGACAGCCGGTTGTTCCCCTGTGTTCGTTTTCAGATGTGTTTAGTTAGAGGCATTGGTACTTCCTTACTCTCATATACACTGTTATACATTCCAAAGGCCTGCTGTCTGCATGGAAGTGATGTTCCATTGTTTTCTTCCATCTCAAAGAGTATACATTGTTCTCACTAAGTGTGGTTGAGTGGTTTCTGTGGTAAGGCTTGTTCCCTATGCTTTGGCATATGGGAGACTATCTTGAGTAAGATATAAGGTCTGTAACTAGCATATAGGTCATAGAGCTAAGGGCTAAAGGTGGAAGGAAGCACAATCTTGAATGGAAATGCTGTGAAACTGGGATCAAAACAAATCCCTAGGGGGTTAGCAAGAGGTCAGGTACAGAACCAATCTTCAGAGATTTAGTTTATGGTCACAAACAGGGCAACAGGTTAATTAAACAGGTTAAGTCTGAACCACAATCCCACTCCCATGGATTGATAGTCTAGTTTGCTTGACTCATTTCATGGGTGTATGTCTGCTTTTATGTTTACTGGATAGAAGTAGACCTATAATCAAATTTTCTCTGAATTTGCCTCAGCTATTGATATTGTCCTTATGTCTCTCTATGGCAGTTGCCATAGGGAAGCTCACTCCTAAGTATGGCAAAGTGATATTTATCAATTCTGCAGAACTCAAGGAACATATTAAAATTTGATTTTAAAAAGCATCATTCCACTGTTTCATTCTGTTTGCAGTGTTGGATGTAAACAAAAACAAGTCCATCATGATTTTTCCTATATCTGATTTTTAATAATATTGTGATTTTGTCATTTCCTTAACACTAATAATTAATATAAACCTGTATTTTGGACCACTGTATAACGTTTCAAGACCCATTGTGGTTCAAAGTGCTTTCTTTTAATTCTGACCTCCCCAAATAAAATTTTCAGCCTTTTTACTCTTGCATTTTGCTCGTTCAGAGTTTGAATTTAAGGTTTTGGTTTCCTTTATCCAGCAGAATTTATTATATGTTCCTGCAGTGCTTTGTACCCAAGTTCAAAGCCCCTAGCTCAGGGAGATTGTGAGGTACAGGAAAAACAAGCAATTAAACATGTGGAGGAGTTTGCTTAGCAACATGGACTTGGAGGGGCAACATAATGAAATAAATTCATGAGATGAGGATGAGGTGTTAAAGGTTAAATTTGGCTCTTTAACTCTTTTCTGTTTCTGCTGAATATTGTTTTCTTCCATGCAAGGCTAGCCATAACTTTTAGGTGAGGTAACAAAGTCTATGTAGTGTAGTATAGTATAGACTTCTTGCTGGAAAAATAATTTTCATGTCAGTTCAGTTTGCTAAAGGGTGAAAACTCATGATAGGAGTCATTGTTTATTCAAAGATTTTGCCCACAGCTAAAATACCAATATTATGATCAGTTATTTTCACCTGAGTATGAATGAGAACCTTCATAAAACCTACAGTGCTGGTAAGTTTTCATAGGCACACATCTTGTAGGAAGGCATGACATTACTGACTGGCAAAGGGGAGAAGTATAAATAGTTTAGCTCTACTGTGACAGGAGAAAAGGTCCAGAAGAGCAAGGAAAGAGGTATCTGAAACTAAGCTGTTCACTCTACAGACTTGTCTGAGGTTGTGGGGTCATTCTGATGTAGTAGGGTCATTCTGATGTAGTATCTCCTTCTACTGATTGGAATCACCCCACCTGCGCCCCCCTCCCCCATGTGTAACAGATGGTCTTAGAGCAAGGACTTGTAAACTAGGGTCCATGAACTTAAAAAGTATGTATAACTTTGTAACTATATTTTAATATAATTGATTTCTTTTGGAACCATAGGTTCTTTTTTAAATTTTTCTTCAGTTAAAAAAAACATTGTTCTGAGAAGGAACCAGTAGACTCCTTGAGATTGCCAAAGTATTCCATCACTGCCTGGCGTCCCCGTCTCTCCCTGCCCTTCTTCCCCGGGCGCACATACGATTAAGACCCCTCCCCCCCCTTGAGAATTGTCTGTAACCTATACCTAGGAAAATTTACATGAGGTACAATGAGAGTGGTTTTGAGGAAGGGCTTTTGATCTTACTTTAATGTCAAGAATACCTACCTTTAAGTCCAGCCTCTGATAAAGATATGATGGGCAAGTCTCAGCTTCCCAGTGTCTCCAAACAGTTCTGCAAAGATTATAAAATGTAGATATGTTCCTAATCTTTATCAGTGGAGGGACTTTGAAATCACAGTTTTGAACAAGAATTAAAAATTTAAAAGGTAACTACATAATAGTAGACATAGTAGAGATTGGTCTCTTCATTATTTATTTGTGGTCTTAGGTGGGTTTTCCTTGCACAGTAGGGCAGAACAATGATAATTCTTCAGAGGTATCCTCATTCTTCCAGTTGACTTCCATCTATTCTATTTAGATGCCTTTTTGGAAAATATTGGTATTTTCACTCATGAGATTTTGAATCATATCATACTGCTTTCTACATTTGCTAAAGGTTTTGTTGTTTGGTTTATTGCTTTTGTTTCATGTATCAATGTTTAAAGGATATAGTCAACATTCTACAGCTATATAGCTTTACTGTGAGAACTGAGCTTCCATTATCTGTGAGTTGGGTACAGCATTCTTTGTTCAGATGGTTCACTATCCAGTGCCCTTCTCTTCCTTGTAGGAGTATTAGCATAAGCACAATATTTAGGCTTTTATCTTCCCTACCTTGATGGTGATAGTAAATTCCAAGTTCACTTAGAGCTGAGAAGTGTGTGTGTGTGTGTGTGTGTGTGTGTGTGTGTGTGTGTGTGTTGACAGCTGGAGAGAGGAAATTGACAATCCTTTAAAGGTGGCATATAGTACTTTTAGAGCATAATATATTTTTTTGAATGATGAGTAATTAATTTTCTTATTGGTCACTGCAGTGTAGGACAGAATAATAAATGAATAAGTGAGAATTTTAGCTAGAAACCTTTAAAAAGACCTTGAAGGGGTACAGGAACCTCTAAATCTAGCCTGGATGGTTCTTACTGTAATTTAAGAAGCCATATGGATTTTTTTTTTGTCCTTGAAAACTCTTTGAATGGCAACTTTATATGGTAGGTATATTTAACTTTGCCTTACTCAGCTCTTTAGCTGAAACTATAGATTGTTTTAGTTCTGAATTAAAAATCTGAACTCCCATTGTACTCAATGCCTCTATATGGACATGGCATTATAAGACATTATTTTGCCATAATAAAGTATCTGAGTTCACTGCAGCTAACTAGGTGGCATTAGTTTTTGTGTCTGTATTTGGAAATATGTATACATATGTATATATACACACATAAACACATATATTTCCCAGGGTATATTGCAAAATACAGTATGACATTTGGCAATAAGAAGATGTATCAATGTGCATGAAATTAACAAAACCGTAAGGACTTCATCTAGAGCAGTTATGCCCAAAGACATAAAAAATATACAGGCTTAAATATTAATGCAGTAATTTAGACAGAAAAAAGAATGAAGTAAAAGATTTTCATCACAAGTTTAAATGAGTGGGTAGGTTGATATTTCACTGAATTTGGCTGTTTACTGGGGAATCTTGGAAAAATCTCCATTACTTAGTACCTTAGTTCCTTTATTCCTGTGTAATGAGGTTTCCAAAAAATATTTATAAAAGCCTTTGAAGTTTCTGTTGAAAGTTTCTTTGCTATTTTTGAATGAACTTTACCATCCTCAAATAATTTTGCTAAATATTATCGTTGTTCATTCATTTTCAGTTATATCTCACTTTTTTTTTTTTTTTTTTTTTTTTTTGGCAATTGGGGTTAAGTAACTTGCCCAGGGTCACACAGCTAGTGTCAAGTGTTTGGTCTGAGGCCGGATTTGAACTCAGGTCCTTCTGACTTCAGGGCCAGTGCTCTATCCACTGCGCCACCTAGCTGCCCCTATTATCTCACTCTTTATGATCGCATTTGACGTTTTCTTGACAAATATACCGAGCAGTTTTACATTTCCTTCTCTAAACTTAATATTAATTCCATATTATAAATATTAAGCAATAATCATCTGTGTTACTGCTTCAGCCATTTGTAAAGACTATTGTTGTAACCTTTGGGAATAAATTGTCATTATCATCACAGTAGGTTGTAACAACATCACTTTATGACTGACACTGAGGATCCTAGTATTAGATCCTGAAAACAGTGATGTTGTTGCATAACAGTGCTAGCATTGTAAGGTAAAACAGTGTTATCATTGTGTTTTTATCACACTTTACATTGTTAATGAAGATGAAGCATCACCAACCCTATTTCTTTCTCCATCATTTCTAATGTTTAGGGTTGTGAACTTGTCTCAACTCCTAGTCAAGACTACACTGATTTTACTAAATGCCTTAAAGTGCTCCAGGAGAAGATAGTGGAAAAGGAGCTCCAGGTAAGCCAAGTTTGTCTTACAGCCTGTACTATCTAGCGTTTACTCTTTTGTTCTCTAGGATGTATCAGGGACTTTTTCACTGAAATGAAATAGTTGTTTACTATTGCGAGCTTTGGCCATAGTTCATTAAGAAGCATTCATGCTTACCTCAGATGAAATTTCCCAAGACACCTAGACAAATGAATTTACATCAGCTTTTTTTTCTTTTTTCCTTTTTTTCTTTTTCTTTTTTTTCTTTTTTTTTGGCTGGGAGAATTTTTAATTTATCTACACTAATGAATCGCCTAGGATGCCATAGAGTGATTTGGGTTTGGCATCCTTACCAGGTTATATATGTATTTAAAACTTACATTTATTAAACTAAAATGCCTGTTGTATCCATTGATGTTTTCCAGTTGTTCAAATGGCATACAAATGGATTTGAGGTGAATAATGAAGACATATGAAAGAATGGTTCTATTGTCAGAGAAAAAAATCAAATGTAATTAAAGTAAGAAATTCATAAGAAAAGTAGAACAGGAGTCCTATCAAAAAAAAATCACAACATGGAAACTTATTTTGCATTGACTATTATATTCTATTGACTCATTTGAAGTTGTATATTGTACCCTCATGCTGTCATATTTCATTAAGAAAGTATGCATACTCAACAGCAGTGGTTGATGAAAACTCTTACTATCTCTTCTGTTTGATCTCTTTGGTGAATTTAGACTTCTGCTAATTTGGGTTTATCAGCTACTTCTCTTGTACACCGGTAATAAATGAATTAAAAATGATTTGTCAGACACTTGTTTCTGAAGTGTTTCGGTAGTCCTATAAGAATAGTTGAACATTATACTTTTCAAAGGCTCAGAAAGGAGACATTTTAGAGGAAATCTACATCCAGATAGCACCAGGATAAAACCTGGTAAACAAGAATCTATTTGAATTGAAATAGATATTGGGTAGTATAGAAATATAATTTGCAGATGAAGGATCAAGAGCTGTTCTAACTATATCATAAGAACATTTGGCTTTTCTTTATACAGCCTTTCTTCCAGAGAAATCCTATTTGCCTAATTCTCAAACTTTTAAGGTGGTACATTCCTTTAAGATCAATTCAAAAATGACCTAGAAGTTAGGCATATATTTGACTGACTCGTTCAGTATTCTCTTAGGTCAGATTTTTTTTCCCCCTTGTGTATAGTTTTAAAAAACTGAAATATGTTCAAGTAACATGGGTGCAAATCAATAAAATCAAGGGAAATATTGAAGTTCAATTCTATCACTTCTGTAAGTGCTTGCTACAAAAAAAGGTTGTGGAGGCCATATTGATGCACTAATCTGTTCAGACACTACCTTGGTGAGAAGAAGGTGCAGTACACAGGCACGAAGAGTGTAAGTTGAGTTGCCAGTGATATTCACATGTCTACTCTTGTTCCTCAATCTGTTTAAATACCAACTTCTGTACTGGTGAATGGTGGTATTTAGTCGTGGGAAAGTTTCTTAGTCAATTTGACAATTTATTAATCACAAAATAACAAAAATCTCTAGCTTTTATACTTAAAAAAAGAAAGTATGCATACTCAACAGCAGTGGTTGACAGAAACTCTTCCTATTTCTTCTATCTGATCTCTTTGGTGAATTTAGACTTTTCTGCTAATTATGCCATAGTACAACATCTCCAGTTAAGTCCTGCATATTCCAATTGCAACCTGTTTTCCCAGCATTTTCCCACTCTACTCCCCTGTATTTAAATATTTTCCCAGATGAATAAAACTATTAGCTATAATTTTCTTCTGCCTTTTCCAGCCTCCATGAATTCTTCCAGGTGGTACCCATGCCTTTAATGCAGTACATTAACATTAAGTGATTTGCCCAAAATCATCAGAGGGATGGAGGATTTTAGCCAGGACTTCTGAGTCCGGAATTTGGTTCATGGTTGTTTTTCTTTTTCTTTTTTTTTTTTAATTTTGTTTTGTATTTTCTTCCTGTATTATCCTGCCTTAATAGGAGAGGGTTTAGGTAAGAACATATTCACTACATTCCAGAAATGGCAGAAATTATTATTATTGCATTCCGTTTGACACATTATAATTATTACAAAGGATAATGAATAGGTGTTATTATAGTTAATATTTTATTTACATAACTATAGACTAATTGTAAATCCAGTTAGTGAGGATTGTTTTGGGTCAAGACACAAGTTTAAGAAACACTTCATTCATCTTGTCTTGGAGCTGGGTTTAGAAGGATAAGTATTGAGTAAAGAAACCAAGATAAAGAATAAGAAGTATTGGTACAATGGTAGGGATAGGGATAGTGTTTGCATGATGAAGAATGTTCATGAAGAATGGCAAAAGTATGAGGCATTTAAAAGAATAATAGGAAATAAAACTGGAAAGATAATTCAGACCGTCTTGTGATGCCATCCTAAAAGAGTTATATTTTATTTAGTATGCAGTGGGATTAGGGAATGAAGGTTATTGATGAACTGTGTAGTGAAGTCAGAAATATTCAGGAATTGTCTCCCAGAGGAGACATACTAGAATCTGAGACAAAAATTAGGCTCTTATAGTAATTTATACAGGAAGTTCTTACAAATGCCTGATTCACAGGGACTCTAGTAGGGAATTTTTTTTTATGAGGATATTTTGGAATTATAATGAATTTGATTTGACATGTCATTAGATATGGGGAGTAAGGGAGAAGGAAAAGTGAAAGAGCACTAAATTTTTGACCCTTGATGTTTACTTTTAATAAAAATCAGGAAGTTAAAATTAGTGTACCTATTAGATAAAATGAGACATTCATATTTCATTATGTTGCCCATGGGTCATATAGAGCTCAGGAGAGAAGTTAAAAGCAAAGATTAAGATTGTAGATTCATCATTGTGTGGCTATGAGTTGAAAAAAAAATAAGAAGATCTTGAGAGGAGGAGAAAAGGGAATAAATATTTAAATAGTACCTACTGTGTGCTAAGCACTCTGCTAAGGGCTTTACAGATGTGATCTCAATTGATCTTTACGATAGCCTTTTGAATTAGGTGTTGTTATTTTCCTCATTTTATAGCTGAGGAAACAGAGGCAAACATAGGATAAGTAACTTCTCTGAGATTATACAACTAGCTAATGTCTGTGACTGTTTTTGGATCTAGGTCTTCCTAACCCCAGGTACCACCTCACTGCCTCTACCAGCATTTAGTCCAAGGATTCTTTACTGGGGTCTTAGGAATTGCCAAGGGGCCATTGAGAGGTTTCAAGGGGTTTTTGAACTTGGATGAGAAAAAAAATACACAACTGTTTTCCTTGACCTCTAACTTAAATATATAGTCCATAGCCTTGGTGAAAGGAGTCCATAACCTTCCCCCTCCAAGATAAGAAAACCTGATTTAGTCCTACCTTCTCATTTTACAAATGAAGACAATGAGACTGATAGAAATTAAGTGTCTTGCATAATATCATACATGTGTAATGTTACATACATGGAAGTATATACAGTTGCTTAGGATGAGAATTTAGAGAACCAAGGACAGATCATTGGGGAATGCCAAAATTTAGAGTGTGGGAAGAGAAAGAGTGACTAGCAAGGAAGGTAGGGATTGGGTGATAAGATTAGTGACATACTCTCATTTGTATTATAGTTATTTCCATATATTTCACATTTCTCCCTATTATATTATACTCTTTTTGCAACCAGAGACCATAGTGTATCTTTCATTTGTTTTAACTTTTTTTATCCCCAGGTGAGGTACCTATTATTTTTACTTGTTTAATGAGTTATATGAAAATATGGAACAGGAAATCCAATCCAACAAACATTTATTAAGCACCTACAGTGGGCTAGACTAGATATCAGGTGTTTAAATGAATATACATTTATTGTACACATATTATTAGTCAGGTGTTATGTTAAGTATTGGAGGTACAAAGAAAGGTAATAACAATCATTGACATCAAGAAGCCCATATCCTGATGGGGGAATCAGATGTCAACAAGTATATGCAAGTATATATGGGATTAATCTAGGGTATCTCAGAGGAGCATTAGCGGTGGAGGAGAGAAAGAAAGGCCTCTTGCAGAATGTGGGATCTGAACTGAGTGTTGAAGGAAACCAGGAAAGCCAAGAGACAGAGGCAAGGAGGGAGAGCCTTCAAATGAATATAGTCCCTATTCTCAAGGAACTTACTTTCTACTGGGGTTGGGAAGAAATACAACATTTGCACAATTAACCATAAATATAATTCAAGGAAAGAAAAAAGCACTAGCAACTCAGGAGATTAGAAAGTTTCTCTGCGAGAGATGACCCATGAGGTGAGCCATGAAAGAAGTGCAATGCAGTAAGAGGTGCATTCCAACCTTGTGGGGTATCTTTTCAGAAGCACAGGGGAGCAGTAAGTTATCTCGTGTAGCTAGAGGGCAGAGCTCATGGAGTGAAGTGATGGGTATTAAAATTTGTTAAGGGCCTTTAAATTCAAACTGAGTTCATATTTTATCTAAGAAGTAATGGAAAGCCCTTAAAGGATCTTGCCCAGATGAATGGTATGGTCAGATCTGTGCTTTGCAGATAATATTTTTTTGACTGTGTGGAGGTTGAATTAGTGAAGGAAGAACCTGGAAGCTGGGTTTCTAGTTAGGAAGGCTTTGTAATAGTTTAACTAAGAGCTGATGTAGGCTTTGAGAGAAATGATAATTCATAACCAATTATAGAGGAGACCCAGACCTTTTTTCTGTCCTGTTTCGTCTTTGAAGCCCATCTTTTGAAGGACATTAATGATCTCTGCCAAAAATTTACCCCATCTAAGAGATGGTCATCTCTTACCTAGGTGAATTCCTGCCCATTGAGTTCTACTTAGGTTTGGGTAGAGATAAATTTTTTGATTAAATTGCCCAAGGCTGGGGTTGGTTTGGAAATAAGTGACATAATCGAAGTCAGTTCTCTAGATCCTCATTAGCAAAGGTCCACCGCATTATAATATTCATTCTTTCATCAATTGTTAACCAATCTGAGTTGATTGCCA